GTGGTGGTGGCACACACTTTTAATCCCAGCACTTGGGAGGCAGAGACAGAGACAGGCGGATCTCTTTGAGTTCGAGCACTCTGTGAGCTCAAAGCCAGCCTGGTCTACAGAGCTAGTTCCAGAACAGCCAGGGCTATACAGAGAAATCCTGTAAAAAAAAAAAAAAAAAAAAAAAAAAAAAAAAAAGGGAGGGAGGGAGGGGGAAGGGAAGTTGACCTTAACCATGGTATCAAAGTCAACCTTATCAACGGTGACACTATGTGCCTCCAGAGTGATATAGTGAGGACACAATGTACCCTGGGTGACTTGTCTAACGAAGCACACAACTTGAGTACCACAGGAGGAAACATCAAACAAACCAACGGGGAGGAGCTTCTCCATCGTGACTGCCTAGTATTCTTCCAACAATGCCATCAAATGCACAGGCAGGGGAGGGGAGGGGTTGGAGGAGAGGTGTCTACCCCAAAGAGTACTCCAAAAAACCCTATGAAGACAATTTTTATGAGCCTCCAGAACAAAAGTTTATTTAATTATGGAGTTACCCTACTGTGGGGATCATGCTTACCTCAGGGGCACGGGATGCCAAATAAAAAGCCCAGTGCTAATGTGTGGGGGCACCTCCCCTCAAATTTGTGGTTAGAGATGTTCCGGAAACACGCAAAACACTATGGACTATTATTGCTGCTTTTGGTTGCCTGACAGAATTTGATGGTAAGGCCCCACTGTTGAAGACCATTGCTGAAGGTCCCACATTCACTGGTCATAGGACATGGAAAAATCATGTGGGTACTGACAGAAAGCTTCCTACCTCTAACACTAGTCATCAGAGTACCAGCATGCTGTGCAGATTGCTAGGAGGAAAAGTCATCAAGTCTCACCCAGCTGTTTACTCTGTGAGCTGCAAATAGCAACTGGCACTGCAAGACATGCCAGTGGATGAAACAGTGCCACCAGTGTCAGCCAGGTGACCAACTGCTTTCTGATTGCATAAGACATGCCAGTGGATGAAACAGTGCCACCAATGCCAGCCAGGTGACCAACTGCTTTCTGATTGCATAAGACATGCCAGTGGATGAAACAGTGCCACCAATGTCAGCCAGGTGACCAACTGCTTTCTGATTGGTTAAGACATGCCAGTGGATGAAACAGTGCCACCAATGCCAGCCAGGTGACCAACTGCTTTCTGATTGCATAAGACATGCCAGTGGATGAAACAGTGCCACCAATGTCAGCCAGGTGACCAACTGCTTTCTGATTGGTTAAGACATGCCAGTGGATGCCAACAGTGGCACCAATGCTAGGGAGGTGACCAATTGCTTTCTGACTGGATGTAAAGCCCACTTCACAGGAGGAGATTTATACCTGGTAACTACATGTCTAGCCAAGAAGCCATGGTTGGGGAGCTCCAGACTGGGGGGGGGGGTGCATCTATTATGATTAAACGGCCCCACAGCCAGAAATGTCAAAGGATTATTAAAATAACCCCCCAAAAGGACACAAGCGACGAGAGTGTAGGGAAGTGAGGATGACCTGGGAGAAATTAAGGGGAAGAACTGGGAATGATTATGATGAAAAGTTACTGTATGTAATTACTTTTAAAATAAAAATATTTATTTAAAAATACCTGGTGTATAGCCAGAGCTGTTTGATTTCCCATCTTTTATTTGTTTTTTAGTGATAGTCAGAAAATGGGAAGGTGTGCAGCAAAAAGGTCTTTGGGGTATGACATGGACACTGCACTGAAGAGCTTGCTGAAGCTGTTTGCTTACACCTACCCACAAAGATTTGGCTTCTCAACATTTCACCATGGCTACAGGAGGGATCCATGACACCACTCCTGCACAGTTCCTCTCCTCCTGTCTTCATACGCAAAGGATGCCTACTGGACACTAGGATTAACTGAACACTCATATCACTGGCCTTTGAAGGTAGAGGCACTTAAGAATTAACATTAACTTTGTGGTAACATGAAAGCAAAAAAAAATCTGGCTGAGTTAATCCTGATGATAATGTTACAGTTCACCTTTTATGAAACATTTCTCAAAGTGCTGAAAGTTATTTTAAAGAATGAATAAACATCAGACCTTTATCCTAGAATTATGATCATCCTTGGTATCCGTGTGGGATTGGTTTCAAGACACATCCAATACCCAAGTCTGCAGATGCTAAAGTCTACTACTAATCATGTGGCCTAGTGTGTGCTTGTATCTTCCAACACACCTTAAATGACCTTTTATAATGTACATGGCACATATAAACAGTTATTCTGCATTGTTCGGGAAATGATTCAAAGGCTGTATATGCTCAGTACAAATGCCAAGATTTTCCCCCAACTATTTCTAACTGCTTGGTTGAATCCATAGATGTATTATTAAAAAAAATAATCTACCACTCAAGATGATCATATTGTTATTACATGGAAACGATTAATAGCATAGGTATTTAGAATTTACTCAATAAGGTTTTAACTGTCACATAAAATTTGGGAAAACTCAAGTAACTTAAAGAAAAAAAAAACAAATACCCACAAAAATGGAAGCACAATGTACTGATGAATGACCATGATGACACCACTCAGGAAGCATAGGCTAGAGGGTTGAGATCCCAACCTGGGCTATGTAGAAGACCACGCCTAAAAGAATCCAAGTGCAGATATTACTGCTGAGTGAGTGTTTACTTCCATATCCACTCTCCATAGACATTTTTAACTCACTGTCTTACTTTAGATCTGTATTTTTTACTCAATTTAATTCTAAACCCCAAACCATCTTCTCTGTTCATACTGTGGCCCGAATTCTTCACAGATTTCCTATTTCCTTTCTTACTAAAAGTGGTATAAATACATCTTCAGCGTACACTGAGTTCTGTTTGGCATCTTCTGGACTTTTCTACCTAAATGAACTCCAAGATTCCCTCTCATCCCCAGAGGACAAAGCATCTCTTTCTCCAAGAGAAGACAAATTCTTACATCTTCCTTTGTGCTTTCCTGTCTTTCTAAGTATCAGCCCCCATCGAATCTCTCCCTCCCCACAGCAACTCCAAAGTACTTTCTTACAACCAAAATCTCTACTGAGTTAAGGGGCACAAAGCTCATTTTCCCTACGGACTGCTTTGCCACTCCCTCTACCAATGTATTTAATGAAATCCTCCCTCATACATAGTACTGGGAGGAAAGGGCTTTAGAAATAATCAAGGTTAGTTAATTAAGGGAAGGAGGTGGAGCGCTCAGAGATGGAGTTAGTGACCTCTGGAGAGATACCAAGGAAGATTTTGGCTGGGCAGAAAGAGTTCAGGGAGCCCAATGGAGGGCAGCCTGGGCTATTATGTGCCAACACCTGTCTCACAAACAACAAACCACACACAGAGTGCCTGCTTCCTCTCCACTGTATCAAGGGCACAGCAAGAAGGTATCACTATGAGCCAGGAAGCTGGTCTTCATCAGACAAGAATCTGACAGTCTCTTGAGCTTGGGCTTCCAGAACTGTAACACGCAAATAGTTGCTGCTTGTGAGCCCCGCAGCCCTGCATGGGTAGCATTCAGAAAATAAAAATTAAAAAGGCTTCCCTCTATTTTACCTCCATGCTTCTTTCTCATTTCTTTAGGGCAAAAGAAGAGTGTCTTGTCAAGTTAGTAAGACCAACAGAGCTGAGCAACAGACAAACACCTAAAGATTATGGGCCTCTCAGAAGCAGGTGCAATTGGCTATTCTCCAACCTTTACCAAAGCTCCTCTTTCCTATCCCTTCCAGATTGTTCCAACTGGCTTCCCTCTGCCCAACTGCCAGGTTCTCCTAGTGAGAACCTACTCTCC